AAACTTTTGTTAATAACTACCATTAGAAATGCTTTTAGTACTTTAGGATATATTAAATGAATGTTGAAAGTGACTTAATCACTTTTGTTTATTTTGTAGTAATTGTAATGAAATTGTATATTAGAAATTTGGGTGTTTTATAAATCCTAGATAATGTAAGTATACTATGAATTAAGTTGATATGTGAATATTGTGTTAGGAAATATAAATGTGATTTTAAGTCCCATCTTACGTAAGAATAAGAAAATTAAGCAATATATAAGGAAATATGACTCATAACCTAATGTCTTAAGGTTTTTGGTTAAGAGTGGTATCAATCCTTACGTGGGTTAGATTAATGTCTCATTGGTATGTTTCTCCCCTATGAATTTCCCTTGTAAGGACCCTAACAAGTGGGTCAGAGTGGTATTTGTATTGAAAGTCTTCCTTCGAAAGTCTTTATGACAAAGTGTGTCAGATAAGAGTAAACGGCGATACATATAAGGAAGTATGACCTATAACTTAATGTCTTAAGGTTTTAGATCATAAGAACCCCAATGTCTTAAGGTTTTAGATCATAAGAACCCCAACAAGTGGGTCAGACAGTACATGGAAGGGCTCAACATATAAGTGTTCTGTTAGAGTAAACGACAATACATGGAAATACTCAACATATAAGGAAATATGATCTATAACTTAATGTTTTAAGGTTTTGGATCGTAAAGACCCAACAAGTGGGTCAGACAGTACATGAAAGAGCTCAACATATAAGGAAGTATAACTCATAACTTAATGTCTTAAGATTTTTTGTTGAGAGTAGTATCAACCTTTATGTAGGTTAGACTCATGTCTTAATGGTGTGTTTTTCTTATGTGAATCTCCCATCTAAAGACCCAACATATTATTATGAATATGAATGATTGCATATCAAATTTTGATGGAAAGTAACTAACATTAATTCAATTACAGTAGAATTCAGGTAAAAACCATAAATGATTGTTTTAGAATGTAAACTAATCTAGTTAGTAATGTAAACTAATCTAGTTACTTATGTAAACTTTGGTTTTTGTATAATTCATTAAAGCAGAAATACACTTGAAAATTAAGGCTTAATAGTTTTTATTTAAGCCCAAGTAAGATTGAGAATTAAGGCCCAATTATGTTACAAAATTAGCTCAATTAAAAAATGAGTTTGAGAGTTAAGATCCATATATGCTAATTTTTGCTCAAATAAAATAATATTGACTCAAGGTAAAAATAGAATCAAATGTCAAAGGTCAAGTTTGGTAGTTTTCGCTAAAGTGTCATAATCTTTAGCTTAAGTAAAAATTAATCCGAGAAAAAAATTGGAATTTTTGCTTAATTATCACCCAAACAAAAATTGCTCACTCAAGTGAAACTTTTGTACTTAATTATGTGTTTAAGTATTTAAAAACTATATTCTACCTTATTTAGTTGCATGCCAATGATAATATAATTGTATAACACATGTGTTGATATTGTGGTGTGACGGAGAATAATAATTATATAATATTATATAAGATTGAGCTGGGATGCATTTTATTAGGAATTTAATAAGAGATATCACCCCTCTATTAATACCAAATTTACACAGAAGAAATTATTAGATAATGAGAGATGATGGAGATTTTTCTTATTTGATCTATGGTGTATATTTACCAATAACAAATAAATGTAAAAATTTATGTTAATCATATGTGATGATTTGAGTATGTGATATGAAGATTTTGATTGATATAGACAAGGAAGTAGATAGATGTAAAATTCTGTATCCAAAGTTTCAATACATAGTCTTTTAGAAGTTGTTGAATATCTCTAATATGTTGCAAATGAAACTGCACTTTCTTGTTGTTGAATTTTTGTGAGAAGTGGCATGTTGTTTGATCTTTAGTGTAAAGATGTAATGTTTTTGTATGTTTATGAATATTAATACGTATTGGATATAATGTATATAAGTTGAATGATAATTTTAAGAAGATGTATCGATGTAAAATATTTTTTGTTTTATATAATTAATAACTTACTTTTTGTGTTGTTTATATTATTATTAATGACAATAATCGAGATTTACATAAGATCTGTTAATGTAATTAGTGGATCTAAATAAAAATTGTCTAGATATGACTTCCATTCGAAAATGCTTTTTTTTTTTATTTGCCTTTTATGACACAAATAATAGTTAATTTTAATAAATATTTTATATAAATAATTATTAAATATGTTTATTATTTTTTTTCTGGTATTATTAATAAGTAGTAATTTATTGGTCCATATATTTAACATATATTTTGTAAAATTAAATTATAATACAAAAGTTGACATTTAACTAATATATTTATTGGTATGGTGTGTTGAAGTCATATTTTAAAATAGTTATTTTAAGAAATGTTATTTAATAATTAATTCTAAAATATATTTTATAAAAATAAATTGAAAAAATATTTTTATATAAAAAACGACTTTGAGGGAAAAAATTATGGACTCTTATAATGTCTATACATATGAAAAAATCTTTAAGAAAAATAATTATTAAATAAGTATTTTAGTTTTTAAAAGTTAAACAAATAAAATTTATCTTTAAAAACCGTAAACATTAGAATAACAATTTTTTTACTATATCTTTACATAGATTATAATGAGATAAATAGTTTGTAAAAAGAGTTTGTTGTTCACGTAAATTCTCTAAATTAATGCGTGAACGTAATTTAACACTATATTCATTTGTATATATAGTGGAATTTATTATATGGTGTGTATATATATATATATATATATATATATATATATATATATATATATATATATATATATATATATATATATATATATAAAAGAATGGAATTTGTGTTAAAAAACTTGCAAGATGCTAAAAAAACTGATATAAGTTAAAAAAAATTATTTATTAAACAAAAGTTCAAATATTTTTTTTATTAAAATCTTACTTAAAGCGCAACTCTTGTATTTAACAGTAATAAAATCATTCTAATATCATCATGTGTCATATCATTAAACTCAAATGTTTCGTTTCACATTGAATTTAATAAACGTGGAATTCACGATCCATATTGAAGGTAAAGGTCTGAAAAGTTAAAATTTCGTCGACTAACTTTCATTTTTTTTTCACATATGAAACATGGATATAAACTTTTCAAACCAAATACATATTTTTATCATAAAAAATGTCACATCAGAATGTTACAATTCATCTTTGGTGCAACTTCACATCAAAATGTTACAATTCATTCTTGTACTCTTTGATTTTTTTTGTTAATTTACTTTATCTTATCAACTTCGTATTTTAACTTTTGTATAGTTTGCGAGAAAAACATGCTTTGAACTATTCTCTCCTTTCTCAAAAGAAAAATCTCCATTAACGTGTCATTATGAGATAAACGTGCTTTGAACTATTCTTGCTTAGTGTTAAAATATATTAAGAAACATATTGGTAATGAAATTTAATATCTAATACAAATAATAATAAAAAAGTACATGTGTCCTCAAACCAGTTCCTATTCATGAGGTTTTACATAACGTGTGGCTTTGCTGTTTGACATTAATGATTTATGTATTCAAATTCAAAGTAATAATTAATAGTATTTACTATCTCAAAATAAAGTGTATTTGATATTGTTTTATTACGTAATTATTCGGGAAATAATAATTTATTTTTTCTTTTTTTCTTCATTAGTTTTCATTTTTTTTAAATTTTATTATCTTTAGAACTAATGATATTTTTTCTGTTTTACATAAAGTAAACTTAATTTACATGTTATTTATTTAAAATTAAAACATTTGCTTATTTATAGATTATGGAAATCGTGATGAATTTATCAGGTGAAATTATTTTTAAACTAGAAAAAAATAGTAAAATTTTGGTAATATTTAAAGGGATTTATACTTAAAAATCATGTGTGTGTATTGTATAAAGTTACTATTTACTATAAATTTTAATTATAATGTATTTTATACAAAAATAACATTTATCTCATACACTACATAAATGTATCATTCAAGTTCAAGCTATTGATATATTTTAAAAGACAGTAAAGGGAAAATTAAGGGCATATTTTTAAAGCATGGCTACTATATAAATTGTTTATATTATTAATCAAGTAGAATAAGTATACTTTTACAAAAATTATTATAAAATAAACAAACTCATCATAGATAATAAACATGACAATTTATAATTTGAAGATAAAACAAAAAAAGTGGCAATGTATTTTAATTATATTCTCATAATTCAAATACCATGGGGCTGAATTTAAAATTAATTTTTTAATCACATCAAAATAGAAGATGTCACCAATAGTATTTTTCAAGTAGTTTTTGTAAAGTTCTAGATTTGAATTTTAGGATCATTATTATAAATTAAAATTATTTGGACCATCGAAGACCGTTAGCACACCACTCCTTTCTAAAGTTTTACTCGTTCAATTGTTGAAATCTTCACGTATTTATTATTCTTAACAACTGCAAGACCATTACTTTATTGGGTTGGAGAAGACCAAGTGAAATTAAATTAGGCAATATTGTTAAAACTTCTTCACTTGTTTTTATTTATTTATTTTCAACAAAATATTTTTAATTTTTAATTTTATTTATCTATTTATGCTTATCATTTTCATTTGATCATTATATGATCAACAAAAATAAAAAATATAATTCAAAAATACGTTTTTTTTACTCATAACTTTTATCAATATACGATCAACTATTCGTTAATTTATTTTTACAATTAAATATTTGTAACCTTTATTTTCTTTTTATCTATTTTTCTCTATATATACTAGACAAGTCATTGTTATTTTTAGCATTTTTTTAAACTCAGCTGAGAAATTGTTGAAAAGCATGATTCAAACCTAATTTTAGAAAATCAAAATATTCTTTTAATCATTTTAAAATAAGATAGGAAAAAAAAGAAAAAAGAAAAGTAAAATAAAACACAGAAGAATGGAATAGTAAGATAGAAAGCACGAAACCTAATCAGTTGTTGGGTGATGTCAGTGTACCGCGTTAGTTTCCTATCCTCACCTTCCCTCCCTCACCAAAACCCACTGTCCTTATATTGCTGCAAGAACTTTCCTCTTCTCTGCAAAAACAAGTTTCTCCGCTCAAAAACTCTCTCCAACCGGAATAGCACAATGAAGGTAACAAAGTTCTATGCCTAGTTAGCTATGTTACGTTTTTACCACATTTAATACTCACATTGTCACATCATTTTCTGAATCCTTTCAATTTCACTCCTTAATTCTTCCATCGGTGTATTGAAATTCCGTATGATGGTTCATTTTCCGCAGAGGCCTAGCAGTAGCATTCGAATCCCTGATTTACGACCGCACCTCGTGCTAATCGCTTTCTGTCTGTTCACCTGTTCGTCAGGTTCAAAGGTCGTTTTCTAATAAATGCCGAATTTCTAATTAATTGTGTTAGATTTATTTTTCATCTTGTTGTGACTGAGTCCGTGGTAGCAGATCGGAGAAACTTGCGGGTCGGACAACAAATGCGAGGCTGGACTCAGTTGCCAGACATGCCCTGCGAATGGGAACACTCGACCTAGATGCTCACGAATACAACCATTGAGCCCCATTTCTAAGGTTAGGTCCTCTCCCAATTTTTCTCTCTTTCAGAGTTCGAATCAATGTTTAATGGTTCTGGCTTTTCGATTCTGGTCAGGTGAATGGATTACCGTTTAACCGGTATTCATGGCTCACAACTCATAATTCTTATGCTCTTGCCGGAGCAAGATCGGCCACCGGGTCCATCATTTTGGCCCCGATGAACCAAGATGACACTGTTGCTGAACAACTCAAAGTAAGATGCTCTTCCTTTTTTTTTTAATCATAATGGGAATAGTACTCACGGATTAAATAAAATGGAGACAGGGACTGAAACTGATATTCTACTTAACTGGTATTATTAATTAATTAGCGAATTCCGAATATTGCATACAAAAACTAAGAAAAAGATTATACCCTGCAATTTTCATAAGGGTATTATTTTGGGTTTCGCAATTGTCAAAGGATAATTGCTTATAATAAGTTTGCTATAAATAATACTTGTTAAGAAATTATAAATGGTTAGTTTAAGTTTACATTTTATCAATAAATTATCATTTTTATGAATTTTATTATTTATGTTTATTTTTTTTTCATATTTTATCCATATGTTATTAGATTTCTTGTAACGTAATGATGGTTAATGAAAAAATAAAACAAAGTTAACAAGACGCTGTTTTGTAAAAATTGACGCAAAGATTACATTGTTTTAGTTTTTTTTTTTTTTAATACATCGTTAATATGTTAGAATTTAACGAGTTTATAAAATTGGTGAAAATTAAAGATATCAAAACTTAAATTTCTTTTTAGAAAATAATAATAATAACGGTATAGTATAATGTATAATTAATTTTAAATATTTTAAGTATTTTTTGTAAAGATATTTTGAGGGATCTTACTGGAGAAATTTATTTAATTTTTTTTATTCAAAACACTACTAAAAATTGCCACAAATTATATTATAAACACTTTTCTTTCAAAAAATATTTTTAATTGTAACAATTTTTCATAAAAGTGTTTTTAATTTGTTTTAAGAAGCCTTTTTTTTTTTTAACTTGTAATCATGAGATCGTTTTTTTGTTCTTCATTCAAAAAACAAAATTTGTTTTTTAAAGGGATTGGTGCATTTTGCAAGGACTATTCAATTCAGAATTATTCCACATGCATGGGGAGGGTTCCATCCTTTTATTTCTTTGCATTTGGTCCCATGTGAATAAACATTTTATGATATAAGCTGGTATTGTAGAGAATCTAAACGTGCCAGTAGTTGTTGGATAACGTTATCAAGTTGTATTGTATGAATTATAAAGTTGTCTTGTATAAAGTATCGAATATTTTATTTTGGATAAAAAAATATAAATATCATAGAGCACCCATGAATACATAGAGCTTACTTGGGAATTGGTATTATTCTCAAAATCCGGTTGCCTTCTCAGAAAATAAATTACTGCCACTCAGTATGAATCACGTGCCAAGTGAATAATAATTCAAGCATGCAAGAGCTGTCTGTCTTTTGACTTTGTTTTTAAAAAAGAAAGAGAGAAAAAGTCTTGGAGGGGGAGGTGAATTTTAATCAAACAAGTGGGTACATTTTAAGTCTAGTTGCTGATTTGATGAATGAATTAATCACATTAACAACTTAATATAATCCACTTGAATAATTCAGCCATTTAAATTCACGGATAAAAATCTCGATGAATTGAAGAAAACAATAAGTGAATCTTAAATTTTGCCCGTATGTATTTTAAAAATAAAGTACTATTATAAAATTGTGATAAAATATACACTCATTTGTTTAAATTATTAGAATAGCTTAATGTTGATGTTTTAATATACAATTATGATTACTGTATAATTTGATTCATAATCTCTTTGCTTCTTGATTTTGTATTGCATCCTACAGAACGGCGTTAGAGGATTCATGTTAGATATGTATGATTTCCAAAACGACGTATGGTTGTGTCACTCCGCCCAAGGCGTATGTTACAACTTCACTGCATTTGTAAGTGCTCGGAAAGTGGCCATGCTTTCTTGAATTTATAATGTGACTCACAAGTTTGGTCCAAAATATATGTTGTGGTGTGACAATGAAATGTCTATATGTATGTGCAGCAACCTGCCATAAACGTGCTTAAAGACATGCGGTCATTTCTAGATGCAAATCCATCTGAAATTATCACCATCTTCATTGAGGACTACGTGACATCTCCTCAGGGCCTAACAAGGGTGTTCAATGCTTCGGGACTGAGCCGGTACATGTTCCCGGTGTCTCGCATGCCCAAGAATGGTGGAGATTGGCCAACCGTGGATGACATGGCTCAGAAGAATCAGCGCCTAGTGGTCTTCACCTCCAAATCATCCAAGGAAGCTTCCGAGGGCATTGCTTATCAGTGGACATACGTTGTAGAAAACCAGTGTAAGTTCCCTACCTACATCTGTATATTCGTTGGAAACATGTTTTACCTCGATAATTTGACCAAAAGTACTAAAGACGAATTTGGTTTTTAAATTTGCAAATGAATGATAATTTTAACCCCTCTTCACTTTAAAACGATGATGTAAATTTACATATTTTTAAAATATAACACTAAAAACACATTTTTCTTTTTTAAATTTATGTTTTGAAGTTAAAATATGTTTTATAGTATTTTGTTGGTTCTGAAGATTTGGGGTAGAATATGATAAGACTTTCTCCAAAATATCCAAATCAACTTATTGAAAAGTATTTTTTATGCTTTCTTTGTTAAAAAGAGTTTTTTTTTTAGTTTTTGCAAAATTATTTTTGATACAACCTCTCCTATTTTAAAAACAAAATCTCAGAATAAATTGGTCTTATATTTTGGAATGCTGATAACTAATCACGGTTATGCATGGGAATTTCAGATGGAGATGATGGAATGAAAGCTGGTTCTTGTCCAAGCCGTGCAGAATCACCTGCAATGAACACAAAGACTAGATCGCTAGTCTTGGTCAACTATTTTCATAGTACTCCTAATCGATCTCAAGCCTGTGCTGACAATTCGGGTCCACTTCTTGACATGATGAAGACTTGTTATGAAGCAGCCGACAAACGTTGGCCCAATTTCATTGCTGTTGATTATTACCAGGTACTTACTCGTCTAATCAAATCACTCATTAGGCTAATCATTAATTACTCTCAACTTAGCAGAAAAAAAAAATTCCTTCATATTGAATTGATGATGATAATGATGTTTTAAAGAGGAGTGACGGCGGAGGAGCACCAGAAGCAGTTGATGAAGCTAACGGCCATCTCACTTGTGGCTGTGGCAACATTGCCTATTGCAAGGTTCGGTTTCTACTTTCTTTCACCTCATGTGTAGTTACTACCTACTACTGCGTTTTTTCCTGTGTAAAGTAACGAATTTGATCCTATATTACGAAATGTAGAGTGATTAAAGTATTAAAATCTGTTAATGCTCATCTGAAACTTTCAAACGTAACTCTCTACCAACCTTGTATTTAATTGTGTATCAATGACATGCAGGCAAATGCTACGTTTGGCACTTGTGATGTCCCTCCCATTTCTCCACCTCCACCTGCAACAGAAACACCCTCCAACGACCAACAGTCCCAAAATAATAATCATGCAAACAGTGTTTATATTGATAGAACAACCAAATTGATGCAAATGGTTGTGGCGATTTGGGCTACGACAAACTTATTGGCATAGTTATGGAATGTTATTAGTTTGGAGAAGTTTCTTGCCATTGAAGATATGAATGCATGTATGTTGTAAACATAGTTTAGATTGTTCGGCCAATTTGATTCCTATTATTGTATGGAATCTGAGTCATTTTTCATCACACGGCAAACTTTATGGTTGTTTTGTGTGACCCGGTTTGTTTAATGATTGACATCCTAAAATACTCATCAAGTCAGAAAAAAAAAACATTTTTTTATAACACAAGTTTCTTAAAAAAAATCTGAATGAACTTGAAATTTTTTTTTTATTTTTATAAGGAACTGATTTGTTCCAATTTGATTTCTAATCCTGTAAAAAAAAAATTGAGGAGGGTATATTCATCCATCATCAAATAACTTATAAATCTCAGTATAGATAATGAATTAAGTTATATATATATATATATATATATATATATATATATATATATATATATATATATATATGCGTATTTAAACATACTTTTAATTATATAAAGAATTTTTATGTTGGATAAATATAATTAAATGATAACTTTACGTATGAAGCAGAAGCAATGTCTGTAGTGATTACAACAAATACAAAGATTAAACCGTTGAGAGGAAGGTAAATTTCATTTCAGTAATATATCTTAGAATGAAAGCCCTAAAGATGCTATACGAGAATTAAATAAGAAAAATAAGAAAAATTTACCCTTATCTCTCAATAAAAATTTCAAAAGCAAAAATTTTGCAAATAAACAAAAAAATATAACACTTCAAAATTGAAAATCTTTCAAATATAATATATTAAATTATAATATTATTAATAAAAGACCTATTTATTAAAAAATTATTAATAAAAAACATGTATTCAAAAATATTTACAAAATATAATTATTAATATGTATATATATTAATAAAAAAAGAAAAATAACAAAACTTTTTATCAAGATTTAATAAAAATTAATCATTTCTTAAAATATAACTAAATTAACAAGAAGTCACCTCTTTTACACGCAAATTGATATATTGATAACAAAAAGCAAATACTAAATTAAAATACAGATATCAGTGTTTCGCAAGTTAGCATTACTCAGTATGATACAATTTAATGCCATTATTTATCTAATCATTGTGGCATCCCATTTTTATTTTAAAAGATTATAAATGATTGAATGATACAAGATAAAAGCATAGAAAGGTATAGAAGAAAAGTAATTGAAAATTGATATCCATAGAATCACAATGTTCAAGTATCCGTGAAATATCAATGCTTCTTAGATGCATACAGTGTATGTGGTCGTTTGCAGAAATATTCACAGCCGAATGCATTGTTATAAGGTTGCCCAGTTGCCCCCATTCATTCATGAGTCATGGACCTATTCTTTTGGGGCCCTAATCCTCTTTTATCATAGTAGACGCTCTGACGACAAGATGGAAAATTAGACTAATATGGCATTACATATAAATGTTCTAGCGAATGTTTTGAAATTTGAATGCTTAACCACGATTATATCTTTTAACATTGCACACCCTCCCTCTTATCTTTTTTTTCCCAAAGAAGATTATTAATGGACAGAGTCCTGACTTCAGTTTTGCAGGTCTTAGTTTTTCAGAAGGTTTTCCAAAAAACAACCTGATCCTACAAAGTAAAAAGATCTTACACACAAAGACCTCAGGACTCTGTCCACTTCGCCACAAAACATTTACTAAGGTTAAGCACTTAAGCTCCCAATGGAATTCAACTTTCTAAACTGCAATAGGTTAAAATCATGAAATTAAGTTTAAGGTCCCCGCTATCTTGGCTAATGTAACAAGATACTCTGAAATTTTGCATTTTAAACACCATTGCCAGACATTCACATTATGATCCAAAACACTACACAAACTTCAGCTTCGCAGAAGCAGATGCAACACTGAGACAACTCTCTAACAGGAGGGGCTTGAATGCACAAATCCATTGCCAGTGTTAAACAGTATAAATCCAAGGGCACAATTTTAAACCCCATTCTAGACCAAACATGTTACCCAAATTATACAACCAGCAGATAAAACTAAAACTACTTTGAGAGCTAAGTTTTAAGATAGTTACATTATCATATTGGGTTAAACATTTATTAAGAAACATCTTCGCACAATAATGCATTACAACAACAGGAAACAATTGCCTCATGTAATAAACAATCAAATTCCTCTGCATTACCCGAATTCCATCCTAATTATTACTCTTAAAAAAAAATATCATCCTATAGTTAAATAATCCATCCACCTCTATCAAAAATGACAACAATGTATTCGTAATTTCAAAAATTGATCAATACCGTGAAATATCCATCTAGGTGTTCTTGGGTGCCTCCGCCGTTACGCTGGCAGCGGCAGCTTCCTCAATTATCTTCTTATTCTTCTCAATAGCAGCGGCAACTTCTTTCGGCATATACTTCTCATCGTGCTTAGCGAGTACCTCCGCGGCAGCAAAGTAACACTCTATTCTCCTCGCCTTCTCGGACACGTTATTTGTCGACACCTCCTTCTTGATCTCCTCCGTGAAAGGTTTCACGATCCCTTCCACCACCACAGAATGTCCTTCCCTGAACAAATCCGGCAAGGATCCCTCGTACCGGACCACAATGTCGGTTATCAGATCGGTGACGACGAACTCCACCTCCGTCGTTGATGCCGGATACACGACGCTGCCTTCCAGGACCAAACCTCCCAACCGGAACCTCGCCTTGGTGGGATTGGTCGCGTACTTTTCAAGCGCGTCGGTGGGAGTGACGTAGAACACCAATTGGTCTTGGAAGTTGTTGAGAACGATCACGACGAACCCGGCGAGGCCGCCGAAAGTCAGAGCGTAGGCCCAGAGGCGCCGCGTCTGGAGCTGCCGGGCACGTGCGCCGATGTCCACTGACTTCCGAGAACGCGGCGGCATGCGACGCGCTGTGGAAAGGAGGCGGTGGGCAGAGAGGAGGGGCGGCGAGGGCTGGAGTGGAGGGCGGCGGACGGCAGAGGGAAGGAGTGGGGCGGTGCGAAGGAGATGGGATCGGAATCGGAGGGCGAGTGAAGAAGCCATTTAATTGGTAAGGTAAAGGGAGTAGAGAATTAATGGTTGGGTTTAGGGTTTTGAATTGGACTAAGCCGCCATGGCCGAAGCTGAACAACCCGATGCAGCTGAGAAGTTTCTCGTATTGGTTGGACCCATGAAAAGGAACGAAGGAAACGAAGAGAGACGAATATAATTGTACTATGTAAATAGTCAATTTCGTCCTAAGAAAAAAGATAAAAGGCTTTTTTAATCTAATTCCTAACAGAAACAATTTAGGAAAAAGTAGATAAATAATTTATTATTAATAAACATCTATTTAAATACTTTATCTATTAATAAAATAATAATTTTTAATTAATTTTATATTAAATTAATATTTTATAAATATAATATTAATAAAAATAAATATTGTTATATTTTTATAATGTTAAAATATCAATACTCAATAATTTATTAAAATATTTTAAAATTAAACCATATTTCATTATTTTCTTAAATTTAATAATCATACTTAATATTTACGTAAATATGCCAGCTCGATATTTATTAATATTTCATATAAATAATATTTATATAAGATTTTTATTTTGTATAATTATATATCATTTCAAATCAATTATTATCATTAGATATTATTATATTATCAATCATATCTTACTTGAGATCCGATAAAAAAATTATCCTAAAATTATTATTTAATTTCATAACTTTATTTATTTTTAAAATAATTTGATCTAAATTAAAAAATTTAATTTTAATTTTTTTAAAAATATTTATGATATCATAATATATCATTCACTGTTATTTTTAAATTTAATTGTTTATTATTATTAAAATTATTCTTTTAATTTTTAATTGAATATTTTATTTTGTATATTATTGTGTATTTCTATTTTTTTTTAATATTTACAATAATTATTTCCCATATAACTGACAAAATAGGAATAGTATTAAAAAGAAGGACTCAAAGATTAATTTAATTTGACCTTTTAGTTGTTATACAAATAGTCTGTTGAACCGTTCCGTAATATATATATATATATATATATATATATGTAACTTTTAATTGGTTTCCTTTAATTTGTATATATTAAAGAAATTTAAAGAAAATGCCAATATTCTGTTATATGCTATTATGTTCAAAATAGAATAAAAATTAAATAATATATTTTAATCTTATACTCGATAAGAATAAGCATCTGGGAACTAAATATACTAAAAAGAATGTCATGTAAATATATATAGTTACAGCAACAGTTGATGAAATAAATAAAATTTAAAAACAGATCACCATAAATTCACTTTAATCCTTAAAATATAAAAAATATTACTCAGTTTCGTCATGCTTTGAATCTCTCATTTTTACTTCTTAGAAAATGGGATTTTTGTTTTCTTTTATTATAAAGAGTTCTGGGTCAAATCGAGTAATTTGAAGAATTTTCAGATGAACTCAGCGAGTTTAATATGAAATGAAATAAATGGGGAGGAGAGGATCAACCCACCCTCATATTCCAACTTAAGACCATCTCTTCCCTATTCTTAAGTCCCACATTGTTTAGAATATTTGACAAACCAGTATTTATAAAACTTCTGACAAGCATGTCAGCTTGCCGAGTTGGGTAACGTCAGCTTGTCACCAAAGTTGGGGCATTGGGTGATGGAACAACGCTTAAACTCTGCCAAGTTGGCTTGGTTGCTGCATCATGCTGGCCTGCCCACTCCAAGTTGGGAGTTGAACCATGGGAACTTTGCGAAAGCATTGGTCTCCTGGTTCCTAAACAAGAGGGCACTGCGTGAGGCTGGTTTCACAGAGCAGCGAAAACCTCTGGCTCTTCACAGTGGGGGGATCACAGGCTGCTGCACTTCCAAACCGATGGGCTTGGTGAGCCTAGGCACTTGAACCATCACCTTTTTCTTTTTTAGCAAGACCCCATTTATCAACATTTCAGAACTACTTCATTTGATCTCAGGAACTACATAATCAAAGTTATGCAATTGGATGTGACTAGGCTGCACGACCAAGTGGAGTCACTTCTGTTAAGGCGTTTTTTATGAGCTTCGGAGCTTATAAAGTGGTTATCAAATAAAAATATTTTTCATTTTTCCTATAACTTTTTGTACTGTTACCCCCATGGTTAAATGCCCTTGTATAGTTGATTTTGATGATAAAAACCCCTTCAATAAAGTGCTAATTGCTTTAACTGTAACAATCATCTTTCAAATTTCTTAAAGCACTATGATAAAGCTCTCTCAGCAGAGTGTCCCAAGAAGTCATTATTTCCATTGCCCTTACAAAATCATTCCCCGATAGTATAGATCTCCTTGCTTAGGGAGGAAGGTGTTTTCAATAATTCACTTTTTTCATATCTACAATTTTAGATTGTAAAAAAATAAACTTCATTATTACTTAGTCTGAACGAGTATTATTAGCCATATTTCAGAGGACGAAGAACAAGCTCTATTAAGAAGTCATCACAGCTCTTGGTTATATCAGATAGGAAAAAAAAAATAATAAAAATAAATATATATATATATATATATATATATATATATAATTTATTATATTATACTTTCTTTTCTCAGTAACACTTAATTATACTATTTCCTCCATCTCTTTTCTTAGAATATAAAATAATAAATATTGTTTTTTAAATTTGATTTCTTCCTTTCTCAATTATACATTCTCTTCTGTTTTTCTCTTTTCTTAAAAAATGATATCACATTTATTTAAGACCAAATATTTATATTTTAAAATTAATATATTTATTAAATTTTAATAAATTAAATAAAAATATGAACACACGTGGTTCCACTAGTTCATTATATACATTTTTTTTATGATATCAAGACAACTAAAAGAAATCCCCTTTATATTTACTAATGGAAACACAAATGTTTCAGCGTTTGTGGGTACACATTTTAAAATTATTAAAATTTTCAATTAATTATTTTTCTCTTAATTCTATTTTGTTTTTATTTTTTTAATAAATATCACAAAGTATTCAATCCATTTTTATGTCTCTTACACATTTTTTTTGTTTTACTATTTTCACATATTTATTCTTTCATATTTTTCTTCAAATACCTAAAAATAATAATTTTAGTTTTAATTTTATTTTGTATCCATTCCTTTTCAACTTATTATATACCATAGAGTAATGAAAACACATGCGTCAAAACAATTGTATGTCTATATCTTTTTCATAATTAATTTTTTTAAGGTAAAACTTTAAAGGAAAGTGCATTCATAATTTATAATATCTATTAAAAAAACAATTAATTCATCTTATTAAATATTCAAATATCATAATCTTTTTGAGTTAAGATAAAACTTTGAATAAGTAAATTTATTTATAATATATATTATAAAGGGATAATTTATTCATCTTATTATATACAAAATATTATCAAAGTCTTTTAGAGTAAGGTAAAACTTTAAAATAAATAAATTTAGTTAGAATATGTATTAAAAAAAGACAATTCAATCATCTTATTATATACTGAAATATTAGAGTCTTTTAAGGTAAAACTTTAGAATGAATAAAATTATTTGTAATATATATTACAAAATTAACAGAAAAAGAATACAATTCAAGTCTCAATAGAATAGTTGTGACCATTATTTCTCTTAGTACACCATATAAATATGTAATCATTGTCAATTGAAAATATACAGAAATTTATACCATTTTGTCTCTGTCAAATATTTCAACTTTTTCTGTTATGGTATCAGAGCCTTTAGGCTGTCATGGCAGACGCGCATACAACATCTTCTAATACGGAGGAAGAATCTCCACCTCCTCCTCCTCCATTTGTTGATCCAAGCCAAAATCCCTCTAGCCCTTTCTATATCCATCCTAATGAGAACCCTTCTGTTGTCATTGTTTCCCCTCCTCTCACAGGATCCAACTATCAGTCATGGTCTCGTTCTATATGCATGGCTCTTATCCCAAGAACAAAATGAGATTTCTTACTAATTCAATCTCTACTCCTGCATCCACAGACACCCTTTACCCTTTGTGGGAACGCTGTAACACCCTTCTTATGTCATGGCTTCTCAACTCTCTTTCCCCCTCTATTGCTCAGAGTGTTATATTCTTTAAGAAAGCCATTGACATCTGGACTGATCTACGGGTGCGTTTTACTCAAGGTGACCTCTTGCGCGTTGCTGAGCTCCAAGAGGAGATTTACTCTCTTAAACAGGATTCCTTATCTGTTACTGATTACTACACTCGTCTCAAGACTCTTTGGGAGGAACTTGACAATTTCCGTCTTTGATCTCCTGCACTTGCTCTGCCAAGCAATACCACCTACAGGACTTTGTCATACGATTTCTGAAAGGGCTCGATGAAAGGTTTGCCATGGTACGATCCTAGATTCTGCTCCTGAACCTGTTACCTTCTGCCCATCGTATTTTTTCCATGGTCATTCAACATGAAAGACAACACTTTGCTCCATCATCCTCTTCAGTCGACAACAATCTCTTTGTTAATGCTGCTGGTTCAAAGCGCAGGTCTTCATAGCATGGGGGCTGATTACTACACTCGTCTCAAGACTCTTTGGGAGGAACTTGACAATTTCCGTCTTTGATCGCCTGCACTTGCTCTGCCAAGCAATACCACCTACAGGACTTTGTCATACGATTTCTGAAAGGGCTCGATGAAAGGTTTGCCATGGTACGATCCTAGATTCTGCTCCTGAACCTGTTACCTTCTGCCCATCGTATTTTTTCCATGGTCATTCAACATGAAAGACAACACTTTGCTCCATCCTCCTCTTCAGTCGACAACAATCTCTTTGTTAATGCTGCTGGTTCAAAGCGCAGGTCTTCATAGCATGGGGGAGCAAACCACAACGCAAATGTGACCATTATGGACGCCTGGGCCACACAGTCGATTCCTGCTTTCAACGCTCCCACACTCAGCCTACGAAATGTGGCCATTGTGATCGCCTTTGACACACGGAAGACGACGTTTGCTATGTCAATTTTGGCTATCCTCCGGGTCATCCCAAATACCCAGGACGACCTCGCTTTCCCAACAAACCCGCCTCTAATGACGGTCCTTCTGTGGTAGCGTAGCCAACAACGCCGTTGCCACCCATGGAGCAAGAGCTAAAACAGATCAGCACAGTTCACAACATGGAAATGAGCTCAATATCACACAGCCCAACTGCAGCATTTGATGACTTTGCTTCAACATGCTACTGGATCTGGTGGTACAAGTCTGGATGAGACACCCATTAGGGCCAATCTTTCGCACACCAGCTCAAGTTCTTCTTTTAAGCCCTCCTTTGATTGTTCCTTTATTTCTTCTATTTGCACCACCCACACATTCAACACACTTACTTCACACACTGCCTCATGGATATTGGACTCCGCAGCAACTGATCATATCACATCCTCTATATACTATTTTCACACATATTCTAAAATAAAACCTATTAGGATCAATCTACCCAATGGGTCTGTTGTCAAACCACACCTATGATTTGCTTGATACACCACCCTCACATATGTCTTCACCAACACCGAATGACATTATTTCTCCTTCTTTACCTTTACCTAATTCACCGCACCGCCCCACCTCTATTTTTCCTTTTAGTGAACCTTCACCTACGACACCCACATCATCCTCTTCCCCAGCCACATCCATTAACCACCCTCCCCTTCGCCGATCTAGTCGCACTGTTCATACACCGTCCTATCTTTCTGATTATCAGTATAACCTTCCTTCAATCAAGTCCGCTCAATTCTCCTCAACTTGCTTGCATCCCATCCAAGCTTGTATCTCTTACAAATGCATCTCCCCTTCTCATAAACACTTCCTAATGGCACTCTCATCTGAACAAGAACCACCAAATTTCCTTGAAGCTATTAAGCATTAGTGTTGGCGCAATGCTATGAACAGTGAGATTGAAGCTTTGCGACTGAATCACACCTGGGATATCATCGAAATGCCTCCTCATGTGCGCCCCATTGGCTGCAAATGGGTATACAAAATCAAACGGCTTCCTGATGGCAGTGTTGAGCGCTATAAAGCGCGTCTTGTGGCAAAAGGGTACTCTTAGATCGAAGATATAGATTACTTCGAGACTTTCTCTCCAGGGATCAAGATAACGACAATAAATTTTGCATCCATCAATCAATGGCATCTTCAGATGTTAGCAATGACGATCTCTCCGAAGACGTTTATATGACAATTCCTCCTGGGTTAACTGGCTACCCTTCTTCCCAGAGCTGTAAACTACACAAATTCTTATACGAGTTAAAGCAAGCTAGTCGCAAATGGTAAGAGAAGCTCTCTCACTTGTTAATTTCCTGTGGTTACAAACATGCTCACTCTGATCATAGCTTATTCTAATATCACTGCTTTAATTATCTACGTTGATGACATCGTCCTCACTGGGAACTGCATTAGCGAGATAGACAAAATCAAAGACATTCTTCATTCTAATTTTCATGTTTAAGACTTAGGTCTTCTTAAATATTTTTTGAGTATTGAGGTTGCACACTCAACTTAAGGCATCTCTCAATGTCAGCAAAAATACTGCCTAGACCTTCTCAAGGATACTGGGATGCTTGGTTGCAAACCAGCTTCCACTCCAATGGACAGTTTCTTGCGTCTCCATGCTGATTCCTTTGGTTTTCTTGCTGATCCTCTACCTTATAGACGCCTTGTTGGTAAGCTTGTTTATCTCACAAGCACATACCAGACATAGCATTTGTGACACAACAACTCAGTGAATTTATATTACAACCCACCGAAGCTCATCAAGCAGTAGCTATGAGAGCACTTCGTTACCTCAAAGGGTGTTCCGGGAAAGGTCTTTTCTTTCCCTGTACTTGTCCTAAACAGGTCATTGGTTTTAGTGATGCCAATTGGACAACTTGCACTGATTCAAGACGATCAATTATAGGATATTGCTTCTTCGTCAGTCACTCTCTCGTATCTTGGAAAACGAAGAAGCAAACCACAGTCTTGACACTTGTGAGTTCCGATGACTCATTTATCTTATGAGGAATCTACACATCCCTCCATCTCAACAATCCATTCTGTTGTGTGACAATAATAGTATTTTTCATATTGCTTCTAACCCATGAACGCACAAAACATTTGGCTACTCTTAAAAATAACAATTTATTCATGCAATAAAACATTAAAATCTTTTCAAGTAAAATTTTAATACTAAAATATCATAGTCTTTTTAATTTAAGATAAAATTTTAAAATAAGCAAATTTATTTATAAGATATATTATAAAAAGATAATTGACTGGTTTGATTACATGTTGAAATATCATATTTTTCTCATTAAAATAAATAAATTTATTTATAATATGTATTACAAAAAATAATTCACCTTATTATACAATGAAACATAGTAGTCTTTTTAATTTAAAGTAAAACTTTAAAATAAGTAAATTAATTCATAATGTATAATAAAAGACACATTACTAAATAGTATTTTTAAGTAAATACACTCGTATAGTGAGAAGTCTTGAAATAATAAAAAATAAAGTTGACACGAACAATCATTATAGGTCAATGAATACAATAATTAACTTTAAAACATATTTTTCAAATTTTTATATATATATATATTTTTTTTAAATTGAGCATATTCAATGAGAGTAGATAAATGAATTGTTTAAATAAAATATTAATTGCTCCAAATAATTTTTTATTAGAGGAATTTTTGTATATTATAATAAGTTGGTTAAATAATTTTTATAGTTGGTTTATTAAAAAATTTATCAAAATAAAAAAAATAAATGGAAAGAGATAATGAAGTTTTTAAAATTTCTTAAAATAAATTCTATTCAAATAAAAATCAATTATTAATTATTTAATAAAGATGTGACATAATAAATCTATTTTATTTTTAAAATAAGAATTTTCAAAGAAAAAATAACTATTCATCAAATAATATTATTAATTAATTAAAATAATTTTTAATTTTAAAATAATATAAGAAAGAACACCAACACCATTAAAAAGAAGTCAATGATTTGTAAAAAATATATCATTTTTTTTATCACTCAGTTTATAATGATTTTTAATGGTTAGCCACGTAAGCAAATTAAAATAAAACTATTATTTATTTAGTCTATGAATATAATTTCTTTAATTTTTATATAAAAATTTACTACGGTTACTACTTACCAACTTGTGTTGAAGAGAAAAAGCAGAGGAGCGAAGTAAGCAAAACAAAGTGCAAAAGTAAACGACGAAAGTATTGCACCTGCACCATACACGTGTCCAATTGAGTTACCGTTCGATGTAAAGTGGATTCTCATACTCAAAATTTGATTATTAAGAGCCCAGAAAACATGGGCCGTCAAAGCCTTTTACTTGTAAGGTGGGTCCCATATACAGTTTTTCTTCCTACACCCCATAAATTTGTTCACCACCTCCCATTCGTTTCAAAGTGAGTTTTTGAAGATATATCTTTTACATTTCAGAACTTCCACTCTAAAGTAAATAAAAGATGTTAAAAGAATTTCGTAAGATGCAGAAAGTGAGTTCTCAAGCTACTTTTTTTAAAAAGAGGATTAAAGAGCACAATAATTATATTTTTCTCCGAAATTTTTCTATCAATATTTTTATTTATATTCATTCTTTTAATAATACGGTAGAAGGATTTATATGAAGTCCGTAGGTAAAAATTATTTTCAATTCGAATAAAACATTTTCAAACGATTTAGAAACCTATTAATCTTACCCAAAACTAACTTGAGTCCAGAATCTTGGTTAGTGTGGGAAGAAGAAAGGTGGTTAAGAGAGAGAAAAAGTACTTTTCGTGGACCAATGACGCAATTCATCTCTTTCTTAAATAATTTGAGTTGTTGTTCCTTCCACTGTTGGAATACTCAAACTCTCCTTGGTTTTCCCTCCACCCAGACCTTCCCTTCAAATTTAATCAATATCATAATTACTACCATAACTGTATAAATATTGGTCTGATTTTCAAATTTAATTTCAGCCATTTCAACATCGATTAATCTTCCTTAATTATAATCATGGTCATGGATTCTCAGGTGTTGCTGGGTGTTGCACTTTCATCTGTGGGTGGTTTCAGCACTTCCATAGGTTTCCCTCTTCTCTCAACTTCCATTCCCTCCATTAATTCATTATTTCATGCCTCCATATTTGTTTCCTAAATCTTCCATGGCTTCGTCAAAGTCTCCATCACAACATGATCATATATAATTGAATTGCAATTCTCACTTTATAAATCAATTTTATAAAATTCTGTTAAACTTAAATTCAACGATAATCATAAATATCTAGTTTCATCATAAATATTTAGTTTTATGAATGAATTATACTTAAATTATATTGAATAGAAAAGATAAAAAAAAGTGATGTATAGAAAAGATACAAAAAATAATATAGATTTCTTAAATATTAATGTTACTGATTATTTCGTAAATCATAATTAATTATAACACCTTTGTTTCAACTTATTAAAATTAACTTTCTGACTAAAAAATATAATATTTGTTGAAATTAGGTGAAATTAAACCTACCGTAAAGTACTTAAATTATTAAGCACAAGCTTTTGATGGGCTCTATATGATATTAATTTTTGGCATAGTGATTGTTCATATAATATCAACCACATGAATAAGGTAGAGAAATTATTATATGGTGTGAAACTATGTCTTTATAATCTTAACTATTTATGTTTAATATTTAATCATGTTTATAATTTATTAAACCTAATTAGATATTATACATGAAGATATGTTTACACAGACATACGTAAAATACACAAAATTATACGCATTATTATTTGAAGTTCTTTGGATTTAGCTGGACTAACATTCTGAAATCGAACAGGTGCACTTTTTGTAATCCTTAGTAAAGCTCCAAGTTTGAAGGTGCTTGGATTGTTACAGGTGGTTTTCGTTGTTCCAACTTGAAAACTTGGTTTTATCTGTTTCAAACATTCCATGTGTTTATTTTCATTCTGTTTCCTTTGAAGGGCAAAACTAAGTTGTGTCATAAAATGTATCATTAACTCTATAATTGAACTCTTTGACTATTTCATTCCATGAAGGGTTTTGCTGCTGGTTTGATGCTGAGTATATCATTCTTTGATCTAACTCATAATGCCTTGAACTCACTTGGCTTCCTAAGAGGCAATCTTTGGGTGTGTTGTGCTCTCCTCTTCATCATACTTCAATTAATCTACCATGTTCCTTCAAATTTGTTCTTACCATAAATTTTGTCTTCTTTTTCTCTAGTTTTTTGCTGGTGTCATATTCTTTGCTGTTGTTGCCAAGTTTATACCAGAACCAACAGCTGCTCCTCCCATTTCAGATGAGAAGAGTACAAAGGTTTGAATGAAGTTTGACCTGCCTAATCACTACTTTCTCTATTTTTGTGCATTTTCAAAATGGCATTGCAGATGCTATATGTTATTTTACACATAGATACAAACACTAGTAATGTTGCAACACTCTTAAAAATAGAAAGTTGGAAAAGAAGGAAGCAAAGACATTATGAAAAGGCGACGCCGCCAAGTTTTAGTCAGTGGTGTTATCACAGCCATAGGTATAATTGTATGAGCACTTTCTAATAAAGAGTAGAGGAAATCATCTAAGTTGGTTTCTAACTTTTCATTTTGATTTTATCACAGGTATAAGTTTGCATAATTTTCCAGAAGGAATGGCAGTGTACCTAGGATCCATGAAGGTACCCCTCTTCTGTCAAAAAATTTAGGTGGTAGACATGTTTGAATTTTTGTTTGAGAATTCATTAATATCCACATTGACAATGACATGCATATGGATCAGTGGCTTCTACCATTAATTGGGGAAGTATTACTTGCATACTAGTATCTAATATACTTGTTAATTTCACTTCAATTTTATGATTGTGTCATGCTTCTCTTAATAGGGCATTCGTGTTGGTCTTAACCTTGCCTTGGCCATTGCTCTGCACAATATCCCAGAGGTATGATTTAGAAATGACCATCACTTCTAATAAAATTTGATGCCTTGCCGAATTTAGTTTGATATTGTTTTTGTTTCAAGAATTTAGTTTGATAGTGTTTTGTTTCACATAAACAATTATAACAATCTTCTGCTTCCAGGGTGTTGCTGTTGCACTTCCTGTCTATTTTGCGACACAAAGGTATAAGAACCTCCATTGTTGATTGCTAAAAGTATGAAATAGTGAACTCGTTGACAGTCTGAAAGAATTTTTGTGTTGTGTGTTTAATAAATTTTCTCCTTTTCTTTATTTTCTTTCCTAAATCAAACCACCAAAAAAAATTTTATTTTTTATCTATTATATTTTCATGCATTCATTTTCGCTTCAGCCATATTACGGATTCGATCCACATGGTAATGCCGTAGAGTTCTGTTTAATGTTGTTACTTTTTTTTAGCCCAAAAGAGAAATAGGGTAACCAACATCACTATAAATTAATTGGAACCTGCTTCTGCTTTTGTGCATACTGATGCAGTACAAATCAAACAAGATGCTTATGACATTGTGCGGCAAAGTTGACACATAATGTCATTGTTTTGATATCCAATAACAGCTGGAATTATTTATTCATCTTAATCTATGGTTTGAGTTGTTTGTTACGTTTATATTACACGAGTTATGCTAATAATAACACATCAGTACCATAACCATTTTTTTTCTCATTTCTGAATGTGTTGTAGCAAATGGGAGGCATTCAAGTTGGCATCACTTTCTGGCTTTGCAGAGCCACTGGGTGTTGTAATTGTAGGTATATGACCCGCTTTCCTTGCTTCGCACCATATAACTAGTTTGGTATGTTAACAATAATGAACTTGAATAAGGTCAGGTGAGGCATGCCTGATACACCTTGTACATTGAATCCCTTTCTCTCAATTTATCAGAGTTGGTTTTATGCACATAGATACATGTTTTAGCATTCTTGCTGTCATAGATATGTAACGTTGAACTTAATTCGGTGATTTTTCTTCCTTCTCTGTAGCCTGTTTATTCCCTACCAGCCTAAATCCTGAGATTCTTGAAGGTATCCTTGGATCAGGTTAATACTAATCCAATATCTAGAAGTCACAATTTTGGGCACTTTGTTATGAAAATTTGCTGAAAGTTCTATTTTGATTAACAGTTGGTGGAGTTATGGCTTTTCTAACCCTTCACGAAATGCTACCACTGGCTTTTGAGTATGCAGGGCAAAAACAGTCTGTTAAGGCTGTCTTTTGTGGGATGGCTTTCATGTCTGCAAGGTACTTAATAAACGTCTCAAACCCATGCTACATTTGCTTTTATTAATTTGGGTAACTATTTAATGCACACTAAGGTGACAAAAGAAAATGTGTATTGACATAGGGTTAAAAAACTGGTAACAATTGTATCTTTATCTGCTTTTCAATCTCACAAAACCAATCTTCTCATTTAGTGGACAACCTACTTAGGAAGATAGATGTATTTGTGGTTCTAATCTGTATAGCACTGCACTTTTTTATTGACCTACAACTAGCAATTCTAACATATTATATTAGTGACCTACCTAATAGCGTTATAGTGCCACCCCATTTTACCACATTTTATGTTAAAAAGAGTTGATAACATTAAATATTGCTTCATGTGCAGCTTGTATTTTCTACGTAGGAGCTTACCAGAGAACATGTAACTGGGAACAATCTCTTTCTTTTCTGAATGAGATGCATTTCAGAGTATCATCATGGACTGTCTTCTTGCTGCTGCCATCAGTTCCTCTGCAGCAAGATGCCTTCAGTGATGAGACACCCAAATTTCCAATAAATTTAATGTACAGCAGTCAGATAGAACATGAGCAGGCAGGATCCATTCATGTGTAATCATGGTTCCCCTGTACACGTATGTATAAACAAAAGCAACTTGCAGTTAACGTTGATCTGTTATCTTAAATTGTGTTCTTTGTTTTATTTACTAGTAGTTCTTGACAAAAAGTCTCATTTTCTAAAAAAATCATTTCACAACACACTTTGCTTCCTCTATTTCTCATAATCTGTCTATTGACTACATTTCTATTTAGTAGCAAGAATTTATTCTACGATTATGGTAGAAAATTCGACATTTAGGGAGAGTTGGTTTAGCAGAAATAGCTAATTTCCATAATTTGATGCACCATTTCTGAACGTCAATTTATTAATTGTTCCGAAACTCATTTCTGAACACTTACATAATAAATCTACTTACTGCATAAGCAAATTTAATTAATTTAAGATCATTTTTTTAAGTCTAATCAAACACCAGTATCAGAAACAGGCTACAACATCTTTGAGCCATTTAGGTTTGATTAAGAATATATATGTTCAAACGGAGTGAAAGTGGTGGAATGAAGAAGTAGAATGCAATAAAATGATATTTGGATTGTTTAAAATAGGATGAAGTAGAATAGAATTTAATGTCTTCATTTAGTCAATACCTTCAATTTTCTTTTTCTCTGATTTGAGAGTTTTGAAATCAACTTTTTATTACTTCCTTCTAAAACATAACATTCTATCTTATTTTATGTTAATACTCTTTTTAATATATTTTTTATTGATTAGTCTTTATTAAAAATTATGAAATTATAAGTGAAACTAGTTAAATAATAATAAAACTAAAAAAAATTTGAATGATTTTTTTTCTTCTTTTGTTAAGCACATCAAGGACTCCATTGGACCAATCAATTTGAATAAATGGTAATCCATAATAACACCGATGATTGTGTTCCATTAATTACGATAATACCATACTTGAAAATTCATCCTTGGAAGAGCAAGAGCTGCCAGAGATTGATTGTTGCTCTCTGTAAAAATAATTGAGATTAATTAACATTCTAACACCGATGAATATTCATATTTACATATATAATTACTTAAAATTAAATTATTTATTGTATTTTATTTATTATTTTTCTTTTTATTTCTTTTATTATTTTTCTACACTTTCGTCTTTTTTTTTATTTCTTTCATTTTCTCTTTTTAAATATTTTTTTCATAATCTATCTAACATAAAAATTTAGTTAATTTTTTTGAAAAAAAAATTATACTTCAAAATAATTTAAAATTAATAATATAAATTATTCCTCACACGTTATCTAAAATAAAATATTATTAAAGTTTTGAAAAAAAATTATACTTCAAAATAATTTAAAATATTTGAAAAGATTTATTTTAAATAATAATAATATAATTTAGTTTGGATATATGTATTTTATATTTAATATTTTAAGTTAATATAAATATTTTAAAAAATTATAAATAATATAAACGTTAACTCAATAATTTATTGCTTGAAGTAAAAAATAGTCTATTAGTGAACATCGACAAATTAATTTATTAAATATAAAATAAAATAAAATAATTATTTATTAAAATATTAAATTTTTACAATGTTTATTACAAAAAATTATTATCTAATTAACTAAACAAATTATTTATATTTTTTAAAATATTTATCTTAGTTTAAAATATTTTAAAATATATTAAAAAATTTATTTTATTTCAAATATGTATTTCGTTTATATATAAACTAAATTATACTATTATTTAAAGTAAACTCATTTATATATTTTAAATTATTTTGAAGTGTGATTAAAAAAATTTATTTTTTGGATTATTTATAAAAAAAATAATTATAAAGAGAAAAATTATAAAAAAGAAATAAGTGCAGGTGAGATATCATGTCTCAATAATATGCTTGCAAAAATCACTCTTCCAACACTCTCTTTGCTCAATTAGAGGATTTTTATATTTTTAAAACTCGGTGGAAGATTATTTTTTTTATCAACAAGAGTTGAATTCTCTTCATAATTTTGGAGATATGATTTATATATTCATTGAGTTTTTTTTTTATGGTTTAAATTAAAATGTAAAATGTTATTAGAATTAATTTATAATTCTTCTTAATCTTATTTGTTATAATATTAATTTTTAATTAGCATTTATTAATTTTTTGTTTAGCTCTTTATTCTTAGTTGCTCCCTATTTCTTTTATTAATTAATTAACAGACGTATTTACTAATATTAACACTCATATATTCTTTCTCCAAAACTTGAGGGGATGTTAGTATATATTATATTCAAGGGTTAAGTATGTTTTTAGTCCCTGTATTTTTATGTGAAATTGGAAATAGTCTCTTTGTCAAAGTTCACATAAAAATAATCTTTATATTTTTGAAATGATTGAAATAGGTCTTTATCTTAAACAGCATTAAATATATGGTGACCTGTCTAACGAGAGATAATATGACTCATTCATTATTTGACACGTGTAATTATTAAAAAAAAAAAACAAAGCTCTTCTTAAAAAAATAGAAATTATTTAACAGAGATTATTATTTAAAAAAAAAATTAAAAAGTAGAAGTTTTTCTTTTCTCTTCATGCACCAAAGCTCTTCAGTTCTCGTCACAACCACTTTTCATTCTCTCTTCTTTTCTTGTCATAGCTACTTTTTGTTCTCTCTTCTTTTCTCGTCACACATCAAAGGTTTTTTCTTTCTTCCCCTTTCTCTGTAAAGGTTGTATGAAGTCAAAGTGACTTTGAAGTTCGAGGGTTCCATCGGTTCGTTGTGGTTCGACTAACCATACGACGGTGGTATACCATAGCTAGAGTTTTCATTTCCGAAAATTAAGGTATGATTTAGGGTTTTTCTTGTACATTATTTGAATCAATTTTTCACATTGTAGGATTACAATGAGTTTCTCTGTAACATTTCACCACATGGATAAATTTGTGAGGTTGAAGAATTGAAAATTGGGAAATTTAGAAATGGGTTTCTCTGTAACATTTCACCACATGGGTACTTTTTAATTTTGTTTTTTTTTAAATAATAATCTTTGTTGAATAATTTCTATTTTTTTAAAGAAGAGCTTTGTTTTTTTTTAAATAATTACACGTGTCAAATAATGAATGAGTCATACTATCTCTGTTAGACAGGTCACCATATGTTTAATGTCGTTTAAAATAGAGACATATTCCAATCATTTCAAAAATATAGGGATCATTTTTATGCAAACTATGATAGAAAGACTATTTTTAATTTCACATAAAAGTATAGGGACTAAAAACATATTTAACACTATATTTAACTAATTAGTTGTGTTAACAAAGATATTAATTATTTAGTTAATCGAGATATTTATTCCTTTCATTCGTACATCTACCAATTGTCATTTTATATAAGTATTATCCTGTTTTTTTTTTATAATTTTTTCTTTGAATTACAATTTTTTTTTTGCAAGATGTTAAGCATTTTCATTTTATTAGTTTCGAGTTTCATAAATGATATCTAAATGGACATGAGATATTAAACTATATCTTTTAAGAATCAATTTTAAATATCAAATATTATATCAACTTGTATATTCATCTATGAAATTTTTTTATTATAAAATCATTTTATTTCTTCACTTTATGTGATATCATCTATGTGATATCATCTCGTTAATTCCAATGTAATAGTAGATTGGTTTATCACACAGAAACAAGAAAATAGAAAATAGAGAAAAACAACTCAGACAACAATAATATTAATGTGTATAATACCTCAACAATTATATATTTTATGAATGAATATACATATAACAATATACAAGAAAAGTTTTAAAAGAAACAGAGTTAATTAACTTTTTTACTTGACTATTTATTAACACTCCTCCTTATGTAAAAAATGATGCATCAACAACACCAGTTTGCTCTTTAAGACTTTTGAGTCTTTCAAACTTTAAAATGTCAAAATGTCAGCAAGTTGTATCTCAGACCTGCAATGCTCAACTTCTAGTTTTCCATTTGAAACTTGCTCATGGATGAGTCTAGCCTCAATGTGCTTGCTTCCACCATGAGAGGCTGGATGGTTGACAAGATCTATTGCAGATTTGTTATTAATGAGCAATTTCAATTTACAAGCTTGTTTTACCTTCAATTTCTTCATCAGTGAACTTAACCAAATTTCTTGACAAGCTGCTTCAGAGACAACTATATACGCAGCCTCACAGGATGAGAGAGCCACCATTGGTTCCTTTGTAGAGCTTTAAGAAATTGGTATCTCTTCAAGAAAAAACATGTACCCAGTCGTTTTTTTTTTTCTATCACTCTTGTCACCACACCAATTAGCATCAGAATATCCCATTAACATATCATCCCTTTTTTACAACAAAATTTCTAGATTTTCAGTTTCATGTAGGTATCTAAGTATGTGCTTCACAACGATGTGATACTTTTGGTTCTTGCATATGTTTACTCACCAACCCAATACTGAAATTCAAATATGGTATAGTGTTACATATATATATCTCAGACTTCCAACAATGTTTCGGTATTGTGTAGGATCAAATCCTTCTTCATCAGGATTTTTCTCAAGCTTCAATTTTACTTCTGCAGGTGTGTTGGCAGGATTACTTTACTACATTCCAAATTTCTTCAGCATATCACGAGCATACTTTGTCTAATGCATAGTCATCCCATATGGAGTTTGCTTGAACTTAATACCCAAAAAATAACTCAGATTTCCCAAGTCACTCATCTCAAACTCCTTTAGAAGTTCATTCTTATCGCAAACTATCAACTCTTCATTACTGTTAGTGATAAATAGATCATCAACATACAAAGCATATGGTGATTTACTCTGTTATTGTTCTCCCAGACTTTTTACATAGACTCCAT